GAGCTTTACGAAAACGTGGACTGACCACTGCCTGCTGGCAAAAAACAAACGTGTGTAAAATTTTAGCCTTCTATCTAAATTCGTTTGAAAGGTGGCGAGATTACAATAGACAGACAGACGCACATCGCTTAATCGACTTGTAATTTTACTGCTGATCAAGATATAAATAGACATATATATATATATATATATATATATATATATATATATATATATATATATATATATATATATATATATATATATATATGTATATATATATATATATATATATATATATATATATATATATATATATATATATATATATATATATATATATATATATATGTATATATATATATATATATATATATATATATATATATATATATATTGAGTATTTCGAGGAGTTACAAACGGAATGCCAATGTTAAGATAAGAAGATATAAAAAAATATCAAAAAATTCAAAACAATATGTATCGTTATCCCCCCGAAGTATGATTTTAGCATTTAAATCATTCTAAATCCCAAAGATCACAATACATGCTTAAAACTAATCAAACCACTTGATTGCGAAAAAAAAGTCCCAGTTTCCATCTAAACATTTTAATCTGAAACAAGCGTCACTGATCAAGGAAAATATATGTATATGTATGTATGAATGTTTGCTTGTAGAAAAAAAAAACTCCCCAATACTCTCTTGCTCATTATCTAGCCAATAAAAATGATTATGGCTCAAATGAATTGACCAATTTCGTAAAAGCCCAAACAAGCCAGTTCTCTGCTAACTGTCATTGACACAACATTTGTCATTCGAACGGGTGTAATAAAATAATTATTCAAGCATATGCAAGTTAAAAACGTGTAAGAGCAATAAATATTGAAATCCTGATTTAATCTCTAAATAATGTTGTATATGTGTGGGCGGTCCTGCATGCAGACAAGAAAATCAAAATAAAAGATCGTATCAGTGAAAATATATGCAATATTTTTTGACAAGAAAAAAAACAAAAACTAAAATGGGAATGGTTGTGAAAATGAAGAGGACTTATTCCACATTAGAGAATGTTTTTTAAGGAAATAAACTTATAATAAAGGAAATTTAAGTATGGATTTTATACTTCCACAGCTGTAAAGTAAGAGATAGTTTAAATAATAAGTTAAAGAAATACAGATCATCGTGGATTTTAAATAACATTTTTTGAGTATTATTAAAAGAGTGAATCATAAATTATATCACTTCAAGGCACTTCAAGGCCATAATCGAGAATTTTAAATAAAATGTGTTTTAAATTTTAATCATGCCTCTATCAGAGCTTCAAATCAATTTTAAGAGGACTATCAGGGTTATAAACGTACCTCTTAAATAGTTGTATTTTATAGACTTAAACAAGTTAAAAAGCAGTAAGCTCGGCCGATTCGAACTTTGAATACCCTCCACCATTTGGAACAAATTTGGAAATTTCCAAAAAATTAAATCCTTAAAAAATTCTGTTAAAATTTTAAAAATACCGTACACCAACAAAGGCATTGTTTGTCATAACCCATTACCATACTCAAATTCGAAACTTGAAATAAACGGCGAATAATGCAGTTAAAATCATCAAAATATCGTATATAGGGAGGTACCGTTATATCGGTGCTGTGCGAAGATCTGGACCTGCATAGACAATTTTCTGTCACAGGCTGTAGCATCCATTACGAACTTCAAATACGACATCTCAAACAATTTCGGTGGGTATTGTACCTAAACTCGCCAAAATACCGAATATAGAGATCTACTGATATGTGGGCCTATACGAAGACCTGGACCTGCATAGACAATTTTCTGTCACAGACTGTTGTTTCCATTACGAACTCTAAATATGTAATTTGAAACAATTCCGGTGGATAGGGAGGTACCGTTATATGGGGCCTATATGAAGATGTGGACCTGCACAAACAATTTTCTGTCATAGGCTGTAGTATCCATTACGAACTTCAAATACCAAATTTGAAGCAATTCCGGTGAATAATGTCGCTAAAATCATTAAAATACCGAATATTGGGAGGTACCCTTGTATGGGAGTATACGAAGACGTGGACCTGCACAAACAATTTTCTGTCATAGGCTGTAGTATTCATTACGAACTTCAAATACCAAATTTGAAACAATTCCAGTTAATTCGCTAAAATCATCAAAATACCGAATATCGGGAGGTACCGTTATATGGGGCCCATATGAAAACGTGGACCTACATGGCCCATTTACGAACTTAACTTGCCTACTGGAAAAATAAACACTTGTGCAAAATTTTGGCCTTCTATCTCAATTCGTTCGAAAGATAGCGTAATTACAACAGACGGACAGACAGACCGACGGACAGGGCTAAATCGACTTAGATTTTTACGCTGATCAAGAATATATATACATTGTTGGGTCTGACATGAGTATTTCAAGGAGATACAAACGGAATGACAAAGTTAATATACCCTCCATAGAATGGAGGATTTTAAGAGAGTGTTTTGATTGAGGGGTTTTATAATGTTTTTTAAACGATACTATAAGGGTATACTGTCGTGAACTTCGAATTATTTTTAAAGCTGGATTTTAAATGGATTTTAAATAATATTCTTTTGAGGGATTGGCAGAACTATTGTCGCGTGACATACAAAATATGTTCAATATACCTTTAAGGCTAATGAAAAATGTTTTGGATTCTATATTTAATATTCATGGTTTTCAACTATTTGTTTGGAAATCTTTTTTATTCTGCAATATAAAGAAACACAAAATGTGAAAAACAAACATATTTAAGCGTATTCCAATTTAAATCACAAACGCCAGTAAAATAGTTAGGAGTATGTGGAAAAAGTCTTATAAATACAGAATAGATCATGGTGCCAACACATCCAGGGGCCCAAGGACCCCAAGCTTTGAAATGACAAATTTTTAGATATTTTTCTCACATTTTTTAAGAAAAGTATATATTTTATTCGCTACTGATTTTTTTCGTTTGGGAAAACATTGCACAGAGATTTAGAATTGGGGTTTCTTGGCCAAAATTCTATAACTTTTGAACGGTTTAATATATTTTCACAATTTTTGTATATTAACTTTGTCTTTCCGTTTGCAACTTCTCGAAATACTCATGTCAGACCCAACGAAGTATATATATTCTTGATCAGCGTAAAAATCTAAGTCGATTTAGCCCTGTCCGTCGGTCTGTCTGTCCGTCTGTTGTAATTACGCTATCTTTCGAACGAATTGAGATAGAAGGCCAAAATTTTGCACAAGCGTTTATTTTCCAGTAGGCAAGTTATTAAGTTCGTAAATGGGCCATGTAGGTCCACGTTTTCATATAGCCCCCCATATAACGATACCTCCCGATATTCGGTATTTTGATGATTTTAGCGACATCATTTCCGAAATTGTTTCAAGTTTGGTATTTGAAGTTCGAAATGGATACTACAGCCTATGACAGAAAATTATTTGTGCAGGTCCACGTCATAGCCCCCATATAACGGTACCTCCCGATATTTGGTATTTTGATGATTTTAGTGACATTATTCACCGGAATTGTTTCAAATTTGGTATTTGAGATTCGTATGGATACTACAGCCTATGACAGAAAATTGTCTGTGCAGGTCCACGTTTTGGAATAGTCCCCATATAACGGTACCTCCCGATATTCGGTATTTTGACGATTTTTGCCACATTTTTTCACGGATTTGTCTGAAATTTGGTATTTGTAGGTTATAATGGGTCTTATTTCGTGTGGCGAGTCATTGTATATATAGGACCACGCTTTGTTATAGCCCCTCATATAAAGGTAACTTCCGATTTTCGGTATTTTAATTATTTTCGACACATTTTTTCACGGATTTGTCTAAAAATTGGTATTTGTTGGCCATAATGGGCTCAAGCTCTGGTGAGGAAATATCGCATGTATAGGTTCACCATTTGGTATAGCCCCTATATAACGGTACTTCCCGATATTCGGTATTTTCATGGTTTTTGCCATATTTCTTCACTGATTTGTCTGAAAATTGGTATTTGCAGGTCATAATCCCAACCATCCTACACACAATACAAATTGCTCTTCTAAATTTTGGCGATCTACGTCAAATAATGTGGGCTGTATCTTAATTTCAACAGACAGACATGAATATATATTCTTTATGGGGTCTAAAACGAATATTTAAGGATGTTACAAACGGAATAACAAAGTTAATATACCCTCCTTTCAAATATGGAGGGTATAAAAAAAGGATGACTGTATGCATCGAATAAGTAAATTATTCGTTTAAAAAAAACTATCATGGCGCCCAACAGTTTTTTTCTCAATTTCAAATATCAAGAAAAAAGGTTCTGCCAATTCCTTTCAAAAAATCGCCATCCAATTTTTACAAGTGTGTCGGCTACAAGTATATTCTGTTTGCTTTGTAAACTGATTTCTTCCCACTTTTTCGCCGCACTCATTAAGATAAGTTCCACTTCACACTCCTCTTAAGAATGATCTTAATTGTTTAATGCAACAAGGAGATGTCATCGAATTCAACTTATTTACTTGTTCTTCATTGCACGAAGTTAGTTTTTTACAAGTTTCAAATATACATGTACAACATTGGACAGTTCCAAACTGGTTGCCACCGCATTTCAAATAAACCCTTTTGATTTACAATTTATTACATATTGGAAATGTTTATTACATTTTTATGGGAAATTGTGGGGAGTTACAATGTATTTCCATTTGTCACAATCGCATGGCCGATAAGACAGTGGATTTAAGTAAAACAATAAAACTAACGCTACTAACTAACTAACTTGACCATATTTATTGATAGTAATATCACAATTAAGCACTGATTTTCAAGTACCCATACTTGCACCTCGATGTCTGCACTGATTGTTCCCAAAGGTGTCACATAGTTCTTGGAACTCAGCTATTTAATTCGTATAAATTGATAAGATTTATTTAGATCAGTTTAATCCGGTCGAAATTATTTTTAACTAAACATTTGACGTTTATTGCAGATTATGGAGGACACGAAAAGCGGTGAAATAAATAAAGCCTTTTCCGGTGATGAGGTAAGATGTTAATACATATATTTTTTTTAAAGAATTATAAATAAAATATATATATATTTTTGTAGATCCTTGAAAATGGCGCCGAAACACATAAGACTGATTTCCAAATAGAGGATATTACTAGTAATGTAAAGGAGCATAGCAAAATAAAGCGTATTGTGATGTCCAGTTTGGTATGGTTGATCCATATTGTGGTGGGATCGTATTTTGGTTATGCCACACATTATTATATACGTGAATGTAAGTATAACACTGTGCAACATAAACAATTATATAAGGAAGACAAGTCAAAAACATTAAGTTCGGTGGAGCAGAACTTTGAATACCCTCTACCATTTGGAAGGACTTTGCAAAATTAAAAAAAAAATAACAATACCAAGTACAGGGGCCTATACGAATATGACGTCCTGCATAGACAATTTTTGTCACAGTTTGTAGCAACCATTATGAACTTACAATACCGAATTAGGAACAATTCCGGTGAATAATGTCGCTAAAATCTTTAAAATAGGTACAATTATATGGGAGCTATACGAAAATGTAAACCTGCATAGGCAATTTCCTTTCCAAAGGCAGGGGTAGACATTAAGAACTTCAAATATGAAATTTGAAAGAGTCCCGGTGAATAATGTAGCTAAAATCATCAAATTACCGAATATAAGGAGGTACGTTATATGGGGGCTATACGAAGATGTGGGCCTGTATGAGCAGTTTTTTGTCATAGGCTGTAGAACCCATTAAGTACTTCAGATACGAAATTTAATACAATTACAATTATATTGAGGCTATACGAAGACGTGGTAGAGGAGGAAATTAAATACAATTACAATTCTATTGAGGCTATACGAAGACGTGGAAGAGGAGGCTATTAAAATAGCGAATATAGGGTGGTACTGTTGAAACCGTGGACTTGAATGAACAATTTTCTGTAGTAGTATGTATTACGGAGTAGGTACTTGAAATTCTAAATTTGAAACATTTCCGGTGAAAAGTGTGACACAATTCAACAAAATACCGAATATATGTAGGTACAGTTAAAAATGGAGGTTATTCTAAAACTTGGACCTATATATCCCATTTTCAATACCAAAAGTCCTGCAGGCTTTGAACACATCTGAGTAAAATTTTATCAACCTACTTCACTTCGTTCGGAAGCTAGATTGATTTCCGCAGATCGACATGGAATTTTATGCTAATCAAAAATATATATACTTTGTGGGATCTAAAATTTAATGTACTCTCCTTTCTATGGTGGTAGGTATAAAAATAACAAGTAAGTAAACAAGTAAGCAAAGGCTATAGTCGTGCGGGGCCGACTATGTTATACCCTACAACACTACAATATGTTGGAAACCCCCTTATGTCCAAATCCATATTATGATTTAATCCATATTGGAAGATTTAGGATTTAGGAAATTTAGGATTTTGACTAGGGATTTAGACTAGGGACATTTGTCCAACATTTATGCACTCCGTCGGGCTGTTAGTTGTTGTAGTCCATTTTACAGCTAAATATATTCCAATGGTCATCCAAAATGCTAGAATTCTTCCCTGTCCTTAACTCTCTTCACAGGCGTGTCGATTGGCTTCAATTGTGTGATCGGAAAAACATTTCTGTTTTTTGTTAATTTGAACACCTAAATATTTTGCAATCATCTCCAAAAGCAAGAAGCCCCTCTGTATCTCCAAATTTAAAATCATCTATATGATTTGCTTGTCTACGATATTTGGCTATATCGAAATCAGCATAAAAAGCCAGAAGATCGCCTTTTCTGTATTTCGGATGTCGCCTGTAAGCCATGCTGGTATTTTTTCATACACAATTAGTGGTCCATTGTACCCGCTGTCCTAAACGCTAACTTTATGCGAGATTTCGTGTTCTTTGGTTTCTATTTGTGACCTTTATAACGGCTGCAAAATCAGGAAAATTTTTAGTTGTTGGTTCATTTCAACCCCCTAATATATTGCGGACATCTTTGAAAACAATAGGCCTAGCCCTTCTGAGCCCAACCCTACCCTTGTGAAAATTTTCTTGAGGATCGGATGATATTTACAATACTTATATAATATCCCCAACCTGTGTTGTAAGGTGAAAAAATATTACAAAATATTATAAGTCAAATTTGAAAAAATCACATGCGATAAAAAATATTAAAAAATAAAAAAAAAAATGTCACAAAATACTACAAAATCTATATTAACATCATTATTGGCATATTTTTTTCACGATTTTTTTAGATTATATACTTTTATGTCAAGAGGGCATTCTAAATTGGCAAAATTTATCAAAATCGGTTCAGCCATTCTTGAGATATAAGCATTCTAACTAACATCCCCTTCCTTTGTATATACACATTGTATATATTTCGCTATATATAACCGATATATTTACTATCGGCATCTACGTAACGGTCAGAATTTGACTTTTATTTAACACAAATGTTGTGGCCTATTTCACCCACTAAATATTACCCGATGACCATCAAAATTGGAAGGTTTCTGCCCGGCCCTAAGCTCTAGCCCCATGCTAACCTGTAGAGCAACTGTAAAATCAGGATTTTTTCAGTTTTTGGTCCATTTCAACCCCTAAATATTATGCGATCATCTCCAAAAGAAATAGGGTTCTATTCTGACCCTAGCCCCACATCCATTCCAAATTTCGTGAAGATCGGGCCATAATTGCGACCTGTAAAGTGATTACAAATTAACATGGGCAGACGGACGGACGGACATACATAGCTAGATCGACTCAGCTCGGCGAGGTAGGAAGATCCATATATACTTTCCTATATGGGAAACCAATATTTCGTGGTGTTACATGATTTTTGGCCCAATCAAACTTATAATACCCCCAACACATAGTGTTGTAGGTTATAAAAATGAAATGAAAATAGGGCTGAAAAGAGAGAAAACCATCCCTTTTCCTAATTTTTGAATTATTGCTTTATCCATTCGTTCGCCACATCGTAAATAGTACTCTTTAGTTAACTTCATTTCGAGTAAACCTCTTGTACCCAGAACCCTTTTTTTAACTCCCAATTTCAAAACTCCAGCACTATTGCACCCTACGCACTAATGGTGCCGAAGCCAGAGAATTCTACGTTAATTTTTTTGGTTTGTATTTTAAAAAATAAAGCATATCTTACTCCTGCAAACGAATCAAATTTCACGATTGTATATTTCAGCCTCATCCCTAGGCTCAGTTATACTTATATAGTATCAATTAAAAGTCTATTTCCAATCCAGTAGAAGAATGTCTAAATACAATACATGTAATGAAGAACCATACAACCTTTTGCAATCTTTCGATTTCCTCCCTTTATTAATCCTTTTTCCAACTTTTTTCAGATAACAACCACCATTGCGATTGGGCCTGGCCAAAAGATCCCACATATTGTCCCATGCGATTTTGTAGTGGCTATGGATTCCTGATATTATTCCTTGGTTTTATCTATTTCGGTTTAGTTTATTACAAAATATTTAAGCCAACAATAGGTCGTAGATTCCATCGCCAATATATGGTGCCATTTGATAAATGGTGGATGGTTTTCAGCAGGCAGAGGTAAGGTTATATCTTCAAACCCGCAATAATATACTTTGACATTTACTTTTTATTTTGCAGAACAATATCGGCGATATTATTTGCTATTTTACTGCTCGCTCTGGCCATATTCTTATATTTCGAAACCAGAGATGAACCACAAAAATTAACCTCACTAGTGGCGCCATGTTTCTTCATACTCTGTGGCTATATATTCTCCACAGATCGTTCGGCCATCAAATGGCGTGTGGTCATTACCGGTATAACGTGTCAATTTATATTGGGCGTTATCTGCATTCGCTGGAGTGTTGGGCGCAGCATCTTTGAATGTGTTGGAAACAAGACAGCCACATTTCTGGCATTTGCCGATGATGGTAGTCGTTTTGTTTATGGCGATAATATCGTCAATCAGGGCGTCTTTGCCTTTGCCATTTTATCGGTGATATATTTCTTTAGTTTCTTTATTTCCATTCTGTACTATATGGGCGTGATGCAATGGGTTGTTATGAAACTGGGTTGGATATTGGCACAAATTTTGGGTACCACCGTGTGTGAAAGTGTCAATGCGGCAGCCAATATTTTCTTGGGCATGTCCGAGAGTCCTCTTCTGATTCGGCCATATATTAAGGTGTTAACTGCCAGTGAAATACATTCCATTATGGTATCGGGATTTGCAACGGTATCGGGTACAGTTTTGGCAGCATATCTTAGCTTTGGAGCTTCCCCAGCACATTTGATAACATCGAGTGTAATGGCAGCCCCGGCAACATTGGCAATATCGAAATTGTATATGCCCGAAACGGAGGAGAGTAAGACGGCAGCCGATAACATACAACTGGAAAAGACGTAAGTGAATGTGTGAAAATAAAAATAACGTTAATTAAAAATTATTTTAATTATTTTTCTAGAGAGGATTCTTCCATATTGGATGCGGCCTCAAATGGGGCCAATAATGCAATACCAATTGTTTTGGGTATCTCAGCAAATATTATTGCATTTGTTGCTTTTATTGCCTTCCTCAATGCTGTTGTGAATTGGTTTGGCTCATTGGTGGGTCTGGACTTTATTGACTTTGAATGGCTATTTTCGAAACTTTTCATACCCCTTGCCTGGGCCATGGGTGTGCCATGGGACGATTGTGATGAAGTTGCCAAAGTTGTGGCAACTAAAACCATCATCAATGAATTTGTGGCCTATGAAAGATTGGGGGTACTAATTACAAATAATATTATTAGTGTAAGTATTGGACTTAAGAAGAGGGGTTTTCATTTAAACAAGTATTTTATATTTGTTTTCTTTTAACATTTTAGGCTCGTAGTGCTGGTATAACAACCTTTGCCATATGTGGTTTTGCAAATCCCAGTTCTTTGGGTATTTTAATTGGTTCCTTGGGCGCCATGGCTCCCAATAGACGTGGTCTAATTACATCTGTGGCCTTTAGAGCCTTTGTTGTGGGCAGTATAGTGTGTTTTGTGTCAGCCAGTTTTGCAGGTAATTATTTATTTATTATTAAATTTATACAAATTTTCGAAAAATAAATTTTCAGTCTCAGGGGACAACATTTTTTCCCAAAGTAAAAAAGTACAATTTTATTCATTACAAATTATTATCAATAAAGGAAACATTTGAAACTCCTTAAACTAAGTAATTGTATAGAACTCAGGACAAACTATTACAATTAAAAACAAATTCAGAGACTCAGGACTGAGTTTGTTTTTCTGTAGAAAAACGTCAACACCTCTCCAAAGAAAAATAAATTTTCTACAGAAAAACAAATTTTGTTCCTTAGGGAGATGAGATGTTTCCACAGAAGCACATTTTTGGTCTGTCGTGGCTGAATCATTCAGAACCGTGCTCTAACTATAGAAAAATTTCAATTCCTCTGAACTCTCTATCTTTTCTATAAAAAAATCTTTAGTACCTCAGGACTACATTTTTTGTCCCTCAGATTTGTTGTTTATGGAATTTTTTCAGAATTGAGATATTTAAATTAAATACTTTAATTATAATTTAATTATATTTTTAATTAATATTTTTTTCCGTTTCAGGTATTCTAATGCAAGAAGAGGAAGAGAGTCGAGTTTATGAGCGTATCCTTAGTGTAATGCAAATGAAAAATGTTACAATAGGCATTATTGAAAGTCAATAATGAAAATGTATTAGCAAACTATTAGTGAAATAATTATCCATGTCTTGCCTGGTATGCAAATGTCAAAAAAAAAAACTTGTTAATATTTAAAATTAAAATCTATACTAAAATCTATAGAAGGATATAAGACTTTAGTTCATAAGTTACTTATTTAAGCTATTTATTTAAGTATAATTTAAAAACGGATGTATATACTAAAATAGAAAGGAAAACAAGTTTGTTGTATTGTTATTTTAATAAACATTTGTCAATATTGTGTTTTATACAATTTAATAATTCCATATCTTTATCATCAAATGCCACCGCAGATTTGGTAAGTTTTTGTGAATGTTCCAAGATTTCATTTAAAATAAATTTATAATCACCAGCATAAGAATTGTCGGTAATTACACGAGGCCTTTTGCTAATATGAACTTCTTGATATTCATTTGCTGTGGGTGTATTATTTTCATTGTTTACATTCTTAAATATATGTAAATTATTGATTTCACAAGTTTTGGGAGTTTCCAAAAATTTCTGTATTTTCATTAAATTTGGGCTTTGCAATGATTTTAACAAACTATCACTTTGTGGTCTTTTATGCAGTAAATACTCTAGCATATAAACACCCAAAACGACTTTAGTTTTGTTTGTATTTTCGCCGAGACATTTCATTACAGATCTATCCAAGTGTGTATCATTTAAAATCTTAAAAATTTGAAAACATTTCCATATGAATATCTTAAATTTATTTACTTCCAAAGAAGATAGAGAAAAAATGTGTGTGAATGCCTTTATCAGATCGTCCTTTACAACGCCAACCATTACAAATTGCTCATGTCGGCACCAAATGTCCAATAAGTGAAGCTGAAAAACAAAATATTTTTATGAAAATAAATTCATTGATATTTTAATTTTAATTCTCACAAGCTCATTGTATTCCCTTTTCAATAGCATACTATTCTGAATACGTTTCAAATAACTGGTTAGCTTGCTATTTAGATGGTTGAGCAATCTCATGTTGTCAACACCACATTTTAGAAGTATTATATCCTTGTTTGGACAATTCACAAAATATTGTTCAATGGTATTTTGTGGAACGTACGCAGCGATGGTTTTTATTATCATTTCAATTAAATATTTCTGATAATTTCCGTTTTCTTTGTTGCTATACGATTTATACCTTTGCCATGCTTTGGTCCAGAATAATAGGCAGGAACTCAAATGAGCATCTGAGTTTTTAAAGAGGTAACTGAAAGAAAGATAAAGTTTATTAAAAATGTATGTTACTGGTTCGTACATCAATGTTAAAATGAAATTTTTCTACGAATTAAATCGTTTTATTATTGTTGGGGGCATTTTTTTCCTAAAGTCTAAGGAAGTAAAGTTTTATAAAAACGTACTTTAATTTTCGTCTCTATCCGAAAATTAGTTTTAAATTTCAACGGACGTATTTTTTGCTTTATTTTACTTTAGTAGTATTTATTATTGATTAAGTTTTAATTATAAAATAAGGACGGTATATTTAAGGAAAAAAGGTTATAACTCACCCATAATAAATGCGTAAAATTTCACAAGATGTGTATGATTTTATCCACTTCGACTCCACGACATGTTTGCACCATTGCAAATGCAGCTCACCGGTAGCATCTTGGGCGGTCAATGTTGCAAAATGTATTAGAATTTTGAAAAATCTTTCACAATCAACAAAAAACAAAGGACCTTAAAATATACAAATATTCTTAAAATCCTTTATATGTTAATTATATAAACCTTTTTAACAAACCTTCAAACACTATGTCGAATATTCGTTTGCAGAGCGTTGTATCTGGTAAATAGTTTTTATTGGCTTTACAGCTAATAGACAAATATTCCAATACTAAATCACAACTAGAAAATATCTTATTATCCTCTATGAGATGCTGACATAAATGCTTTAAAGACAAATATTATTAATAAAAATGTGTATAGACTAAATATCATTCAAAATATCTTTAATATTTTGTTTGTCAGTCGAGTTAAATATTATTATTTAATAAGATTGTTAAAAGAAAATATTTTAATCTTACTTTTTCTATTATTTCCCTTTGATCAACCATAGCCAAAATATCATTTAAATCTGATTGAATGGCATCTAGTAGGTTGCTTTTAACATCCTTCTTCAAGTGGCTAAAATAAATTATTTTTCTTAAAAAAAAAATTGTTCCATTGTAAACATTCGGTAAACTTACTGTATAAACATTGAATAGACTTCAAAATATTCCGCAGCCATTGGCAATTTGGGGCAATTTTTTGAAATTAATTTAATTAGTTTCAAATAAAATTGGGCAACTTTCAGAAAGTTATCATTATTGAGGGCAGATTTCTGTAATTCATTAAATGATTTGTGAATTGAAATATACAAAAAAAAAAAAAAACTACTTAACTCACATCTTCTTGAAAATATTTAAAAAGTTTTCGTAATTCTTCAGTAATACCAAATATTGGTTTCTCTGTAGAATTACGCTTTAAGTCATTCAATGAATTCTTTAATTCTATATCTAGTTCCATTGGTGCCTCAGAACATTTGCTCGAAATCTTTGCCACAATTCGCCATGTTTCAATGGAAAGTTTAATGTCTGCGAATGACATTGCAGAAGCCACATCACAAAGTGATTTCAGAACTGAAAGAAAAGATAATAAATTGGATAATGAAATTATATAAAAAGTCAATATGGAATTTTTTACATTATTTGATTATTTCTTTTCCTCTGCGAGCATAATAATCTGATATTTGCTGTGAAAAGGAAAGCCAGATATGCACTGTACTATTCGACTAAAGTTCTTTTAGCAAGTGTTTATCACAGCAAAGATTCCATTTTTATTTTTTTTATTTTTTTTTTTTTTTTTTTTTTTTTTTTTTTTTTGAAATTTACATACTAAAAGAAGCCATAAGTTCATTACCTTTATTCAATCCATGGATATCTTCTGATCTCTGTATTTCCATTTTGTGTATGGATTTACTTAATATTTGTAGCACATTTTGATGAATAACAGTGAGAGGTTGCATATTTCTAGTAAATAAAAGATAATTGTAGCTTTATGGATTATGTTTTTTATTTTAATTATAGTACATACCCTTTTTCTGCAAACCGACTGGTTTGAATAACAATTTCAAAGCCAAATGCTAAGATAAGGCACAGAATATGTATTTCTAAATTTCCAATAGTTGTTTGTAACCACTGAAGAAACTCGTGTGTATCTTTCCACCATTGATGAAGCTGTTTGGATCTTGTATCTGATTTCGAAGAAGTAACATTTTGAATAAACTAGAAAATAAGTAGGAAAAATTAGTTAAAATCTTTAAATTTATGGCGAAATAAATTTTTATTATTGCAATAAACATGTATGTATTCAATTTATAAGAGCAATGACGCTTGAACAATTCCCTGGAAGAGTTCTTTTAATTTGGCGCCAACCTCAAAAGCACAAATAAATATAGTTTTATTTTCAATACTCACATTTTCTAGTAATTTTTCCAAAAATCCAATTATCTCGATCCAGTTTTCATTTGTATATTCTGAAGTTTCGTAGGCCTTAAAAAGTTTCCTAACCCATAGATTGTAAATATCTTCGGCGGGCGCGGAACTCTTTTCACAAATTTTCAAAGCCTGGTATCGTTCAATGCACGCAGAAATGTCTGCAGTTTCCAATTGTGTCAGTTCCTCAAATGTTATTAATAATTCCTCATTATTGAGGGAAGCCATTACGAAAACAATATATTAACTATTTAAATGTTTTTGTATTTAATTTATTTCAAAACTATAAGCAAATCACATTCCGATCACCAATCTTTTTATAACACCTATGCAAAGTTAAAAACGTTCCAAACAAGTCGTATATGAAACATATGTCTCGAGGAAAATTGTTGTTTACGAATTGGGTATAAGATAGCAGTTGAGGGTGGCGCAAAACCATTGCCTTGACTCAAGAATAAATTTTCGGAATTGGCAACTCCAAATAGGTAACAGAACTAGGATGTGTTATTTTGTCACATCAGTCTTACAAATTAAAATAAGTTTCAAAAAGCGTTATTAAGGACAAAGCTAAACCGACACTAATTTATTTTTGGTCTTCGTTTAATAATAAGAAAATGCTTTATTCCGTTATGCTTTTTAAGTCGTACAAATTAAATGGCCTCAGTATCTTTCAAATGGGTTTATCAAACGGACCGACTTTTGGACCTATATGCAACAAGTTGTTTTCATTTATTCGATATTATTTATTTATTTTTCAAATAAGTCACATAGCGCGAAAGATGAATTAAATGTCAGGATGTTCCCTTAAAAAATATGATCCCAAGTGTTCAATCTTTCAATTCCATACCAGCTGATTACGATTTTTTCCTAAGTGTGCCCGACGTATGCCCATTTTTTTGTATGTATTTACTGTTTAGAAAAATAAAAACAATATGTTTTTAAAAACAATGATTGGAAGAAACTTAGTTTGCGGGGCGCACATTAATGATATTAACCAAATTTACCATGGAATTGAAAGATTGAAAACTTAGGATATTTTTTGTGAGGCAACATCTATACATTTTATTAATTTTTTGCGCTATTTGACTCATTTTAAAAATAAACAAATAATATCAAATATAATTATGTTGCATATAATTTTAGTAATTCTGACAGGAGGCGGGCATAGCCTTAGGGCTGTATTTCTCTAGTTTTACGATGCTGTTCTACCTCTTTATTGTACCATTAGTAAATCTGGTTAATATCATTAGAATAATAAAAAAATATCATTAGAAAAAAGTGTAATCAGCTGGTAGCTCTACCTTACCTTTTTGTTGTACCATGGTTACTCCCTTCAAACGAGCCTTCATAGTAACTAAATTTCGTCGGATATGCCAAAATGCAGATAATTTGGACTCATATTGGCTATTTGGTGCACAATTAACCCGATATCTGTTGAGGATATATATGGGAGCTATATCCAAATATGAACCGATCTTGACAAAATTTGCTCATTGTTGTGGAATGCATATTACGTTTGTGAGGGACTTAAAACTCAAAATCAAAGGAAACATATATACGGAAGCTATAGCTATGGCTGAAACGGGTTTCTCCAAATTTGACTTATTTGCTTCTAGACTGAATTCGGTAGGATGTAATAAAATACAGGTCATTTACACTTATATAAGCCATTTGAAGCATAATTAACCAGAAACTGGTTGAAGATATATGGGTGTTATATCTAAAACTGATCCGATTGTCACCAATTTATCTCATTCGGATAAAAAATACGACTTGCATTTTGTGGACGGACTGACATGCATAAATCGACTCAGAAAGTGATTCTATGAAGAGGCACAAAGACATAATACCCTTACCACTATGTGGGGTAGGGTATAAAAAACGATTGAACACTTGAATGTACTTTGAAGTAAGTTCCTCACTTCAAACTTTATTGTATTTTAAATGAATATATTACACTGAGTGTAAAATTGTAAATCCCATTATTTTGGCCCAAGTTTTTCCAAAAGAGATCTACTATTTATTTTTAATGGAACCTTTGCATCCTTATCCCCTCATAACAAATAAAAACAAAGGAAAAAAATGCAACACACTCTCTTTTTCTATAAATTAAACTTTATTCATTAACTACAGCCTTTCTTTCATCATGAATTATTCGCATTGCCTTTAACAACTCTTTTAGATTTGTACCAACTTTGGCACTGATGCCAATAACAGGCATATTGATTTTCTCTCTCAATTCCAGGAGGTTTTCCTTTGCTTCGGGCACATCAACTTTATTTGCTACAACTATCTTTGGATAAGATGCCAATTTTTTGCTAAATTGACTCATTTCATACAACAATGTTTCGTATTGTACCCATGGTTCCTGGGCACTGGCATCCAATAGAAACATTAATGCTGTACAATGTTCTGCGTGTTTTAAGAATTGCAATCCCAAACCTTTGTTACGATGGGCATCTTCTATGATGCCAGGAAGATCAGCCACTGCCAATTGAAAATTATCTGCATATTGTATCATACCAATGTTAGGTCGCAATGTCGTAAAGGCATATGGAGCCACTTTGGGCCGAGCTCTACTAATGGCATTCAATAGTGTACTCTTGCCGGCATTAGGAAAGCCTATGATGCCAATATCTGCTATACAACGCATTTCCAATATGTAGCTAACATCTTCCCCCGGTGGACCGTGTTCACATATTTTTGGTGCATTCTGTTTTTCACTAGCAAAGAAAGCATTGCCCTTGCCACCGGCACCACCTCGTGCGGCGATGAACATCATTCCTTCGCGACTAAGATCTCCAATAATTTCCCCTTTCTCATTGCGAATAATTGTGCCAATGGGGACTTTTACGATAGTGTGTTTGGCATTTTTGCCATGACAATTCTTGTCGGTACCTTTTTGTCCTTCATCACCATAGATTTTATTCGATATGTGATATAGATTTGAGACATTAGAAGATGCCTCAAAAATTATGTGACCACCGTTGCCGCCATCTCCACCATCTGGTCCGGCCCTTTCGTTACACCATAATTGGAGAAAGGATATGCACCCATCGCCGCCTTTACCACCCACTGTCCGTATCATTTTTATATCGGAAAAGTTTTGATGCTGTAATTAAGAGTTCCACGATTAGATCAGTTGTGTTGTGCAACTAATTAATCATGCCGGCATTACCTGGTATATTCGATCAGATTTCGCCTTTTTCGGTCTTAGCGCCGTGACAGCTATATCTTTGTCTTTTACCCATTCTTTTGGTGTCTTGGCTGTGGAGTATCGCCTCAGGACTAGCGTGGAAAAACGTCTAAGGAACATCTCGCTCTCTGCTTGAGAACTTAAGTGAAGAAGAATGTAAACAAAAACAAATGCACATGAACTGTAAAACAGCTGTTTCATAAATCAACTAACAACGAGTTAGTGGTGCGTTACGGTAATGTCGTTTTGTATTTTATTAAGATAGGGGTGATTACGGACAGATGTGAATGGGCGAATGCTTTGAAACTAAAAATTTGAAAAAATGGCATTTTTTATAATTATTTAAATTACTCTGTTTTTTATTCATTTTCTTGAAAATTGATTTGCTGTACTGTACAAATGTACTGTATTGGTCCAATGTTTTTTTTTTACATTTACGTTGCCAACCATCAAATGTCTCCATAATTATCGCTCCAAAAATACTTATTTATAAAAACTTCTGACAATTCAATTCATTCCTCTATATCGGCATTTGCAAAAATTGCTAATATATTCCATTCCAAACACCAAAAGAAATAGTTCATGTTTGAAGTGGAAAGTGGTTGGCAACTCTTTAAACGCAGTTATTAGGTACTAGTTCCACGGCTCCATTTTTATGAAACCCCCATTACATTGCTTCTCGGCATTATGCACTTCACTCATTCGTAAACAAATAATATTCTCTGTCATTTTGTTTTCAGGTTATTTTTTATCGCACTATATTTTGTCCTATTGTTTTACTCTTTGGAACGATTTCAATTTTTGTAGGTGTTAAAAATATTCGTGTGATTGATTTGTTTATATTTTCTTAATTTTACAATATATAAACATTAAAAGCATTTAAACGGTAATTAAAGTTATGCATAAAAGAGTCACAGTGTGGAGCAATCATGGAAGACCAATAATAACAGGAGTAATGAGTTTTATTTGTGCATTTGGTCATTTTTTTGGCGAAGTTACGGGGAGAATCTATGGAATGGAATTGAAGGACGTATAAAGAACTGTTTTCCTTGTGTGAATGAACAATGTCCGAAAAATGGATAGTAGAATATAATTCTGAAATTCCGTGAAAATCTTTGGACGGAAGAGTTGGAAAATGTTGACAATAAATTAGAAGCTAAACTCCTAAAGTCTTTCAGAAAACGTGAATGAAAGAGATGGTTTTCAAAACATAGTAAATGCTATTAAAGATGTAGGTACTATTGCTGGGTCCCCAATGTTCTTGTAAGCCAAATAACCTTACCTTCTTTTCATAGTATGAGAACAACCATGCTAATATGTCATCGTTTCCTTAAGATTCTAAGGTTCAATAATACATTTTTCCTTCTGTATGTCCTGGATCTTTACATTTATAATCATATATTGCCTCAGTCAGTCATAGATGCTATGAAATAATATAAGGACTTTGGGCGACATATATTTCCTATAAATCCCGAGATAAGGTCCAAGGAGCTTCATAACGGCCCAAGGAGCTTCATAATTGAATATTTTCAAACATCTGCGGGGTGGTCTAAATCTTACTTTAGCCTATGGAAAATGATAGGATGATAAAATTTAATAAAATAACTATGGAGTTTGTAACAAACATTGCTTATGAAAGAAAGGCTTTTTCCTTAATTTCATAGATGTTCCATTTGTTATTCATTATTAAAATGAACCCCATTCAATTGTATTTTTCTTTTCAGTTTCACCATCCTCATAATCAATTAGACACCTATATTCTGCAATGTCTCGATTTGGATAAGAAACATTTGTAGGCGAACCCAAAAGAAAAACACAATTGTGTACATATTTCCATTATTGTACAACTCCAACCCAGTGCGATTAATGATTAAAAATGGTGGAATGTTTACTCTGTTTGAAAACCACAAAAGATGCAGTTGAGTCTGACTGCATACTGGTCGATTCGGCCCAATGGGAAGACCTAGCTATTAAAAAGTTAATCGATAAACATCTATGGCCTATTGTAAGTGTTATTTACTTCACATGTAAAGTATCACTGTTTTTAACTAACTTACCTCTTTCCAGGACACCATTACTCCTCAATCATGCCTTTGTCCAACTTGCTGGCAAGAATTAAATGGATTTCATAATTTTTATACTCGCATCGAGGAGGCCCACAATGATTATAAATCGCTTTTAAAAGCGGAAATCGATCCATTGGAAGAAGAGAGTAAGCCAAAAGACTTGCTCTTGGAAAATCTGCTCGAACCGGAAATAGTAATTGGACAAACACTGGATGTTGCCATAGTTATAAAACAAGAAAATGAGGAAACGGCAATTATTCCAAAAATTGATAGTGACAATGAAAAAGATCCCAAATCACAAACCCAATCAGATGATGATAGAGAATTCATGGATGATTATAGTGGTAACAGTGATGAGAGTGAAGAAAGTGACAGCGATGACGACTTGCCACTGATACATAGAACAAAAAAATCTCCAGCGAAAGCTAAATCTGAAGTAAGCCTTGAATCCGATGATGGCAGTGTTGATCCCGATCCATTGCAGCCACGTCGACGAGGACGCAAAAAATCATCGTCTGAGGTGAAATCAAATTCAGCGACTAGGAAATCGTACTATCAGCCCAAAACCAATCGCTTAGAACATGATAAATTTTTGCAACAACACTATAAAATAACATGCAACAAATGCCATTTGCCCTTCGACACATTCCCTCTGCTCTGTAAACATTACAGTAAAGAGCACAATGAACGCGGCTTTGTAACATGTTGTGAAATGAAATTCTATGATCGTAGTTTACTAGTGGATCACATTAATTTCCATTTAAATCCCGAGTATTTTAAGTGCAAAGAATGTGGTAAGGTTTTAACACAAAGACGTTGTTTGTGGGCCCACATGAAACTGCACGAAGAGAAGAAATTTTGTTGTGATGTTTGCGATAAGAAATTTGTACAAAAATCTAAATTGGAGAGACATAAACTGACACATTTGCCGCAGCAGGAGAAAAAGTATCCTTGCAGTGAGTGTGGTAAATTGTAAGTAAGCGTAATGTGTGTGAAAATTTACAATTTTTAATTTAACTTTTTCCCTTAGCTTTGGCAATGAATATGTTTTGACACAACATCATAGGGTGGTCCACTTAAACATCTACGCCAAGGTGTGTGAGGTTTGTGGTCAAACTATGCCCGATTCGAATTCTTTTAAGCGGCACATGGAAAAGCATGAGAACATAAGTGAAACTAAAACAGCAACACCCACGGCAACGGTTAAGTGTGATGATTGTGGTCTAATATTGGCTGGACCACTTAATTTAAAACGCCACAGAGATTTACAGCATCCGCCAGGTGGCAAACGGGATTACACCTGTCATATATGCTCGAAAGTATCACCTAATATGAGAGCTTTGAAAAAACACATACGCTGTACACACGAAATGGGCTACGATTTCAAGTGTACAATGTGTGAGAAGGCATTTAAACGATCGGATAATTTAAAGGTAGGTACGCAAATTGGAGGAATGATTTTTAAAGAAATAAATTAAAATGAAATCATACCAGTGTAGCGACTAGCTTGAAAAATCTTCAACATCAAACCAAAGGAGAAAGTCAATGCATATAAAATATTTTGAATATCCCAAAAATTCGCCGGTATATTCCACATTGTAACGACAAAATATTTGGATTTGAGGAAGCCTTCAAAAATATTATTGAAACAAGTGGAGAAAGATGTAAATGTTTATAAGTGCGGTTGTAAGATTTAGAAGACTATCCAAAAGAATTTTAGTTTAATTCTTTGGTTCCTCTTCTATTGAGCTTACGATGTTTTTTTTTTGTCATAGAAGTTATTTTTTTAAATATCTTCTGATGAGAATATCCCAGACATAAAACAAGGGAACTGATGAGGATTGGTGGGTCTTTCCAAAACTTAGGTATTCCCTTCCTTTTACCCCCTGGTAAACATTACCATCGTTCTCCACCAATAAACAAACGTTGTTTTTATAAAAACAACAATAAAGGGATTAAGCCTGACCATTTTGCAATAACAAAATACTATGGTATCCCAAACACACAAGCCAACACTGTTCTATTTATTGAAATATTTATTGGGTTGTTTATCGTTCGAGATATCAATAACAATTATCACAGCTATCACATAAAAAACCAGAAGTTCGCCTTTGTGTATTTCGGATATCGCCTGTAGTTAATGCTGGTATTTTTTTCACACCAAAAAGTGGTCCATTCCACCCTCCGTCCTAAACTCTAACTTCATGCGAGATTTGGTGTCCTCTGGTTTCTATTTGTGACCTTTATAACGGATTCAAAATCAGGAACATTTTTAGTTGTTGGTCCATTTCAACCCCTAAATATATTGCGGGCATCTTTGAAAACAATAGGCCTAGCCCTTTTGAGCCCAACCCTACCCTTGTGATCGGACGATATTTGCAATCCTTATAAAATATCCCCAACCTGTGTCGTAAAATGAAAAAATATTAGAAAATTTTATAAGTCAAATTGAAAAAATCGCATGCGATAAAAAATATGAAAAAATAAAAAAATTTCACAAAATACTAAAAAATCTATATTATCATCATTATTGGTATATTTTTCTCCGATTTTATTAGATTTTATAATTTTATGTCAAGGGGGCATTCTGAATTGACAAAATTTGTCAAAATCGGTCCAGCCATTCTTGAGATATAAGCATTCTAGCTAACATCCCCCTTCCTTTGTATATACACATTGTATATATTTCGCTATATATATCCGATATATTTACTGTCGGCCTCTACGTAATGGTCAGAAATGACCGGTTCGTCTATTTCTGATTTCGCAGGTATTAAAAATATTCGCGGTCTAATGGAAAATTTGACTTTTATTTAACACAAATGTTGTGGCCTATTTCACCCACTAAATATTACCCGATGACCATCAAAATTGAAAGGCTTCTGCCCAACCCTATGCTCTAGTCCCATGCTAACTTCCGCTTCGATTGGTCTATAATTGCGACCTGTAGAGCAACTACAAAATCAGGAATTTTTTCAGTTTTTGGTCCATTTCAACCCCTAAATATTATGCGATCATCTCCAAGAGAAATAGGGTTCTATTCTGACCCTAGCCCCACTTCCATTCTAAATTTCGTGAAGATTCGGGCCATAATTGCGACCTGTAAAGTGATTACAAATTAACATGGACAGACGGACGGGCGGACGGACGGACATACATAGCTATATCGACTCAGCTCGGCGAGATAGGAAAATTCATATATACTTTCCTATGTGGGAAACCAATATTTCGTGGTGTTACATAATTGTTGGCCCAATCAAACTTATAATACCCCCAACACATAGTATTGTAGGGTAAAAATATTTAAGCCAACGCAACTGCAACAAAGTCAAACGCCACAATTTTTACATATTTTTTTTTTATTTTGTTTGAATGAAAGCAAACATTTCGGAAATAGCATCAAATTGTATAATAATGTTGCTCTGCGGTATTTTGACCCATTCCCGGCGAAGCGCTTGCTTGATGTGATCGAAACTTTGGTATATTTTAGTGCCAACCTTGCTTTCCAAAATACTACAGACACAATAATCCAACGGATTGGTATCCGGAGATTTTGGTGGCCATTTCGCGATAATATTCGGCATTTATTCTGATGCCACGGTCTGTTAATATGGCGCTTGAGTTCTGGTGGCCAACCGAAGGTGCACATTTTCAGTTGACCTTATTGGCATTTTGTTTGTTTACAAACTGCTGGCCAACGAATGTTTTCTCATCGGAAAAAACCAATTTTGGCAGTTCGCCACTTTCGGCCAAGTGAAGCAACTCTTTAGCACTTTTGAGACTATTTTCTTTCAGTTGGGTCGTAAGTTCTTGCACTTTCTGGTATTTCAATGGCTTTACCCCGAGCTCATTTTTCAATATTTGCCGAATGGAATATTGCGATATGTTCAGCTCACGAGCCATTTTTCGTCCACTGTGACGCGGGTTTCGATCAAGTCGCTTCTTTACTTTTCGAACCATTTCTGCTGATGTCGCTGTTTTCTTCTGGTCACGGTAACGAGCGATGGTACGAGACACAAAAGATTTATTGACATTTAAATGCTGGAGTGCTCCAACGATAGCCACTTGTGGTTTTCCTGCTAAATATAAAGACATCACACTATCACGTTTGAATTCTATCAGGAATAACATTTTTCTGGAAAATTCTCACCAAACTGCTTTTGTACGGTTGGAGTTGTTGCAAATAGTGAGATTTGAATGATTTAAGAATTATTTAGCAGCGTTGTTTCAATTTAGACTTATAACTACATATTCGCATGTTTTTAAAGCAGTATTCCCTTTTGTTTTCCATTTGCAGGCGCACATGAGTACCCATACTGGCACACCGCTCTATTCCTGTCCGTGGTGTCCGAAAACATTCAACTCAAATGGCAATATGCATAATCATCGAAAAAAGGCTCATCCCGCTGAATGGGAAGAGGCGCGTCGTAAAAAGTATTCTGGCAATTTGCCGCCTAATTTTAAGCCGCCAACTACAACTACGACGAACAACAATTCCTCCCATTACTTTCCAGTAACAGTAAACATGAATGGCAACTAGTTTTAATGATTTTATATTAAACAAAAAATAAATTAAGAAAAAACAAACAACAAATACAATTATGTTAATTGGTATACATATATAGAAAAAGCTTTTTGTTTTATTAATTTGGGGAATATTAAAAAAGGTATTGTTAGTTATTAAATGGTCGGCGAATTATGATGCGTCATGGGTCGTTCCAAAACAATATAGATATGAATTAAAAAAATGATTGAAATGCAACAAAATTGTTAGGTCTACTGAAGGGATTTTGTGTAAATAATTAAATTCTCACTATTTACCTCTGAAAATTTTAAATAAAATAACTTGTTTTCATTTTTTATTTTATTATTGTTTATTTAATTGCTTGACAAAAATATAGCTTATATTTCATTAGTTTTTTATCTATTATATACATTTTGAACTTATAAATTAAATTTTAAGCAGCATCATTAAAACAAGTTTATAAAAGAGATTCCTGTAAAAGACAAATAAGTTATTAATGGTTTTTAAACGGAACAAATGTGAACATTTTAAGAACGTGTGTAGAATAAATTATGTGGTGCAATTATAGAAAGATACTTTTAGAAGGAATACTAAGTTATCAACTCTTTTTTTAAATTATAAGTTTAATATATATTGTCATTTGTTTTTAACTTTGAAAGTCTAATGATGATGTGAAATGCAACGAAACCTAAATTTATAGAGTTAAATAACCATAAGAAATAGCTCACCTTGGGGGTATAGATCTTAAGTTTTTTTCCTCCCCAAAAAAGTAAAAATGTTAAAAAAACAAATGCATTTAAGCGTCGGAATTAATGTTCTAGACTTTACATGGTGATGCACAGGTCAGTTCATAAATTCATTTTTTATTCGAAAAGGTAAAGATTTTTAATAATCTAAATTACATTTATAATAATCAAAATTGGAGCGTCCAGAATTTCAATATAACTACAATATGAATTGCCATATTCTAGAAAACGAAAAATGCTACAAACCAAAGTTTTTTCCAATTCCAGATTTCAAAAAATTCCACTTTAACTCCTTTCCATTTCTTTTTCAAAAATTTTCATGTTCGTTGATAAAATTTTGTATCAGATTTTTGGTATTGAAAATGGGTTACACCACGTATTGTAATAGCCCCAATAAACCTGTACATATAGATTTAAGACCGAATTTTCTGAACAGATCCACGTCTTCGTATAGCCCCCAATATAAGACGGTGCTGGATGCAATATGGCATGCGCAAGAAAGGACTTATTGAGAGGCCAGTTCCGTGAACATTTTATTTCAAGTTCGGGAGAGGTCATGCGATTTAACGCTTTAAGACCAGTATTTCCTAAATTATGGGTCTAAAAACATTGAGAGGCTCTATTGGGATGTATTAGAACCTTTTTTATCTGTGCGTTTTGTAATCCTCTGTCTCTAACATTTCCAAAGAAGCACATGTTGTTAGCCTGTTTCTTATACAATCCAACATAGTATGTAGGGTACATTATGTTTGTCATTCCGTTTGTAACACCTCGAAATATACATTTTAGACTTCACAAAGTATATATATTCTTGATCAGAATAAAAAATGTCGATTTACCGATGTCCGTCCGTCTGTGGAAATCACTCTAGCTTCGAACGACGATGGTAGGTTGTTAAAATTTTATTCAAATGTGTATTATGCCTGCAGACTTTTGGTATTGAAAATAGGTCATGTAGGTCCACTTTGGCATAGCCCCCATATAATGGTACCTACCGATGTCACATATTTTGCCGATTTAAGCGACATTATTCACCAGAAAAATTTCAAATTTGGTATTTGAAGTTCGTAATGTGCACTACAGCCCATGACAGGAAATTGTCTGTGCAGTCCATGTCTTCGCATACACCCAATATTACGGTACCTCCCTATATTCGGTATTTTGATGATTTTAGAGACATTATTCACCGGAATTATTTCGAATTTGGTATTTGAAGTTAGTAATGAATACTACAGCCTAAGACAGAAAATTATCTGTGCAGGTCCATGTCTTCGTATATCCCCATATAACGGTATCTCCCGATATTCGGTATTTTCATGATTTTAGCGACATTATTCACCGGAATTGTTTCAAATTTGGTATTTGAAGTTTGTAATGGATACTACAGCTTACGACAAAACATTTCATATGCAGGTTCACGTTTTCGGATATCGCCCATATAACAATACGTCCCGATATTCGGTATTTTCATGATTTTAGCGACATTATTCACTGGAACTGTTTCAAATTTTGTATTGGAAGATCTTAATGGGTTCTACAAACTATGGCAAAAAAATTCGTATGCAGGTCCACGTCTTTGTATAGTCCCCCTTATGACGGTACCTCCCGATACTCGGTACTTTCATGATTTTAGCGACATTATTCATCGGAATTGTAACAAATGTATTTGTATTTAAAGTTCGAAATGGTCACTACAGCCCATGGTAGAACTAAGAAGGTAAAGTCATGTTTTCATATGTTTACAATTTTTTCAAAATAATACCTTTGACAACATCTCATTGTCAAAATTTTCATTCATAAATTCATTGTATACTCACAAAATCAGAGATGGCAACTGTTTTTTATGCATTGAAAATTGGCAAGGTAAATTACAGAAAATGTAGAGTTGGGAATGCTAATTTGAAATGAGGTTACTTTTATTTCATTGTACCATGCTACAGCCTTTGACAAAAAATTTCGTTCATATGTAAGTATATGAATTTTGGGGAAAATTCAGATTTGGCAATGGTTCATGATATATCCGATTTGAAATTTAAATATCTCAAAGGCGTAATGTGCACTCATACCAATGATGTTCGGAACAAAATATCATATACATTCTAGAAAAACTTTTTCCAAATTTCATATCAACATCGGTTTAGATTTAGATATAGCTCCCATTAAATTTCATTCTAATAGTCCTGCAAAGGATTACATGGCTTCTATGGCTATCAACCTTTTTTGGGAATATTTATGAGTAGAGATATTCTGTTTCAATTTTTTTTTGAAAATTTTCTTAATCATTTCCATGAGGATAAAAATTATATTTACCATTAACAGTTGCACATTTTTCTTTTTTTTTTTTTTTGATTCACTACATAGTTTTAGGCATTAGTTTGAAAATATCGCAACCATGCATAGCTATTTAGCAATTTTTGCCAACTAAATATTACTACTTACTCAATTTTTTAGCCATGCAACTTACCTTGTTTCATTTGATTCCAGCATTGTACTATTCGGTGGTTATTTCCCGTTTCTAATAAAGAAAACAATCATTTCACACATATGCATGTATATGTAGACATCTTTTTTTTTATAATTTTTAATTTAGCTATAATTTGATTTTATTACTATTTTTTTGTGTCGGTTTCTAAGTATCATTCGTCTCACACCATTACTTTTCATTTCATTTCGTTTCAGTATGTTTTTGTATTATTATTTTTTCTATACTAATAATATATTTTATTTAACATTTGTTCTATAGTTTTCTTTTTGCAACCGATTTTAATTTAGTTAATTGAAATTCTAAAAAAAAGTAAGAGTATCAAATTTAATTTCGCAACAATACATGTTGTGTGGAACATAAACATAATACAAGGTATAAAATTGAGTTTTATATTTACTGTTTCGTGTTGAGGGTAGAGATGCAATGTTTTTAAATAATAAAAAAAAACAAATTAATAAAAACAAGTTGTTTTGTTTACTGTATGTAAGGTTTTTTTATTTTGTTACTGCAGGGCAGGTGTTGCAACAGAATATTTGGTTTTTGTGATTGGTGTTTTTGATTTTGTTTATTTGTTAAATAAAAACTTAATTGAAATTCACTTTCAGCAATTCAATGGTAGCAGTGTCCACGTGGAAAAATCTAGTGGGTTGTTTTTGTTGTTTATATGTTAATGAATTTATGTATGCTCGATTTGTCGTAAAAATGCCAGTTAATTAATTTTGAATGAACATGAAATGTGGAGTAAACAAATGTTATGACGCTGAATGAGGTTTGGATTCTTTTTTTGGTGAGAAATTATACAAGGAGTATTACAGTGAGACATAAAAGAAACATTGTCTCTTGAATATTTAGAAGAAAAAATCTTGCTCATTATCCTTAAGGAATAACTGGAAGATATAAAACATTTTAGAAGAAAATTACAATATGATGACAGTTTCTATAAATAAATCAAGGTGCGACACACTATGTCACACTATTCTCCAAAAAATTGAAGAATACAAATCCTCCAAAGAAGAAAAGTAAAATCCTGTCGAAAATCCTTTAGCAGAGCTGCGTTAGGGAATCTCTTTAGGAAATATTCAGCAGCAGTTAACCTCTTTAGAAAGGCCCTAAATAAATTCTAGGGGAGAAGACATACTCTAGACTTAACCGACATGTGGTACATCAAAAGATGGGACAGCGGAAGTCACCTTCGAAACAAGACGTTGAATGTGATGTTTGTAAGTCTGACAAAGACTGCCTTTATCATTTTAAATTTTTTTTACCCCTCACCATTCTATGTCGGGTATATTAACTTTGTCATTCCGTTTGTAATTCCTCTAAATATTGATAATTTACCCTACAAAGTATATATATTCTGGATCAGCGAAAAATTCTAAGACGATCTGTCTGTCTGTCCGTCTGTTATAATCACGCTTTCTTTACCAGTGGCAGGTAAATTTCGTAAATAAATCATGTCATGTACCTCCCGATATTCGGTATTTTCATGATGTTAGCGACATTATTTGCCGGAATTATTTAAAATTTCGTATTTGAAGTTCGTAATGGGAACTACAGCCTATGGTAAAAAATTTTGTATGCAGGTCCAAGTTCTCGTATAACCACCATATAACGGTACCTCCTTATATTCGGTATTTTGATGATTTCAGCAACATGCTTCACCGGAATCGTTTCAAATTTCGTACTGGAAGATCCTAATGGATACTACAGCCTATTCCAAAAATGTTTGTATACAGGTCCAAGTCTCCGTATAGCCCCCATATAACTGTACCTCCAGATATTTGGTATTTTGATGATATGAGCAACATTATTTACCGGAATTGTTTCAAATTTTCTACTGGAAGATCCTCATGGGTACTACAGCCTAAGACAGA